TTCTAAATGAAGAAAATTTATACACATTACTGAGAATTCTGTGGCTAAAAAGTAATATTTTCCTGTGTCAAGGTGATATAGACATAGTCATAGAAACATTAGAGCTGGTAAGAAGATTTAAATATAATATTAAGTTTAAAATTAAGTTTAAAGTAATTAAAATAATTATTGTTACAAACTATAGATACGAATTTTTTTAGTTGTTGAACCGTCTGCTTGATATGGAAAATAAAAGCCTAAATCCATGTATTATGCTTCTAAATTGTAAAAATAACTCTCAAATTAGTGCCAAACTGGTAAAGAAAAAGTTGACATCAATTCAAAGGTATTTCTTTTTAAATATTTATATTAATGTATAATACATTTATAGATATATATATGTTAAATCTATATGAAAATAAACAGTTTTCTGTATATCCGAATAGCCGATGTAGGCTCTGATGGGCTTTTTTATATTTTTCACTGATAGATTCTTTCGAGTCTCATTTTATATATTTGTTTAAATCTATATGTTAAAGATACGACTTAATTTTGTATTATAGGGGTCAAAAATTAGGTGAAATTCAACAACTTTATGAGGAAAAGAAATATGCAGAATTGGCTTGCATATTGCAGGATACTTTTAAATTTGCTAAACAGAGACACAAACTGTTGGGAACTAATGAAATTATCGTCGACAGAGTTCGACAATTAAATATGTTACTTGATAGCTTATGGCAACTTCAACAATATGAAGTAATATAAATATATATATATATTATATGTATATATAAGAATAGATTTTTAATAATACCAATACTTTCAGGAATGTTATGTCTGGGCAGAGGCTTGTCTGAATGAATCATGGCAAAATTACTTGAATTCGTCTGACGAAACTGAACAGAAAAAATGGACGAATTCTGTTGTAACAGCACTTGAGAAATTAGAAGCTTGTACAATCGAAGCCAGTGTTTTTATTGGTAAGATCATATCTTTATATGTCAATGGCATTTTTATAATGTAACATTATTACGCTAATTTATACGCTAATATATTATGCTAATTTTATGATTTATTATAATTCTAGTAAAATATCTATCAGAACCTCGTCTATCGAGATTGGTACAAAATTTAGTTCACATCGTTTGCCATCAGTTGGATGTGCCAGAAAGTGCTGTGGAGATGCCATTGGAGACTGTTTTACCTTGGATCTTGTTACATTACATCCTACAATAGTAAGTTTTATCAAGAAATGTGTATGTGATGATATATGTTATCATATGTATTATATGAAATTAATTTACTAATAGCAAAGAAGATAAGGAGAGGGCAAAGACAGAGTCTTATAAAAATAAATCACACAGTTCTCATAATTCTGAATCGGATGATGAAGATGACGGCATTCCACCATCTATCATGATTTTATTCACTGCTCATGAATTTATCGGTAGACATTCGTGGTGTTGTTTTAATGAGGCGAAACTCTTATTTTTCATTATGAATCTTATCATACCGCATCTCGAAACTCCTCTGTATGTTTCTATCAAGAATAGACTCACGAAATATTTGGAACAGATATTCTATTGCCTATACGGTCATCCAAATAGGGTGAACAAAGTGCGACCAAAGTATCTTCAGGATCACGGAGTACCGCAAATGGAATTAACCTGGGATGGGGCACAGCTGTTGTTTGATTTTTATAAACCGAAACAGCTGCCAAACTTTCAATCCCCCAGAGTTCTTTCCATTAGCATGGATACGGAGATACTGTTCAAGAGAATAATTAGATTAGTTCCTCAGGAAAGCGATCCGAATCAAATAGTAGATGAAATGACGGCATATATAACCGGTGCGAAAGACAAGATGCCAAGCATAATGAAATCTTTACCACATTCGATATCCACTATTTACTACTTGTTGGGTGATTTTTATTTTAAAAACAGTAAGTGGGAACACGCATGCCGATATTATCTATTAGATTTGTGTTTATATCCAAAGGGATTAAATTCATGGGCAGGTTTAGCTATGGCAACAGGTAGCATAATAGAGAATTGGTTGAACAGTTACAGACCTGTGTAAGTAGTGTTTTCTAAATTTTATTTATGTGTTACACCTTAAACGTAATATATGTCCTTGATTTTTTTAGAGGGAAGGATAAGTTCCTCAATAAGGCAAAAATGGCACAGTCGAGTTATCAACATGCTATCGAGCTAGCACCTGGTCATTCTGTAATTTGGACAGAGTACGGGAATTTTGTTTACATGGTTCATTCGTTTTGTTCGCGATTGCTCAAACAAGAGACCGATACGTTAAGTATGGAGAGATTTGAAATTTTGGAAACTAGAAAAGAAGAGATGCTGAAGATTGCAGATCAGTGTTTTGAATCTGCTAACAGGATATGTCAAACTATTGAAGAACCATCCATACAGCATGATGAAAGATGGCTTTATCAATACATGCTTGGTAAAGTCGCAGAGAAGAAAAATCAGGATCCTCCTATATTCTTAGAACATTACACAAAGGTTAATTATTATGTCTCTTACATATTATTTCTTATATATATTATTTATTATATATTTTTTATGTAATATTTGATACTGATTAATACCAATATCTAATTTTAGGCTAGTGAATTATTATATGATAATAACGCTCAATATCCACGTAGAATAAGCCACAAGAGTCCACAAAATCTGTCTATAGAAGCCCTAGAAGTTCATTATCGCATTCATGCGAGTATATTGAAATATTTGGAACAACACGAGGGAAAACCACTGAAGAAATCATTAGGTCAATTGTTTCATTGGCATCTTAAAAACTGCTCCGAAGGGCCCTTTATGACGTATCAACCTAAACTTAACGATAAGAAAAAAGAAGAGAACGATATTGAGAAAAGTATTACGAAAGAGGTAGACAGTACAGCAGATGCGGATAAAAATGCAGTATGTCAACGCTCAAATAGTATTGAAGAAATAGAAATCATAGATAAGTCAAACAAAATCTCTGATATTAAGTTTACAGAATTAGGAAAGTCTGAAAGTCGTAAACGATGTCCTGATGAACTGTCACATGACAATACAAAAAGAATAAAGTTAAGTAGTATCTCACATTTACAATTAATGCAGGACGTCGTAGCCTTAATAGATGATTTAATTACCAAAGTTTGCGATATGGTGTCGCAAAAGGATAAAAGCGATGACATAATGATCATATCTAGTGATGAAAGTAATGAGACAAAATTGCAAAAAAAGAAACTAGAGAACAAGAATGCCGATAAAATGAAATCACAGCTAAAAACCGAGGAGATTAAGAAAAGTTCAGTAAATATATTGACAGTTGATTCTGTACGAAGGACTGATGATGTACAGGATTTAATGGATGCTCTCATGAAACAGGCAATGGAAATTAGCCAAGAAACCCAGCAGTCTTCAGCAGATGATGAGGATACCAGAAGATTCGATGGCAAATGGTTACAAAATGAAGACTTGCAATCTACCGTGAGTTATGTTTTTATATATTTTATTAATATATAAATTTTAAACATTAATTGAGAAATGCACACACACACACACACACACACAATTTTGTGTGTGTGTGTGTGTGTGTGTGTGTGCGCGCGCGCGCGCGCGCGTGTGTGTGTAATTAATTTTAATATACAGGAAAAGGAAAATAAAGACAAAATAGAAGAGAGGAGAAAAACACAAACAAATGCGAATGAAGAAATGACTTTAAGTAGAAGGGGCTCTCAAGAAAGCACCACGACACAAACTACAACTACGACTACGGAGACAAATAATTCGAGTTCTAGTAGTAGCGAGGAATCTAGTAGTAGCGATGATAGTTCTGACAGCGATAGCTCTAGCGATAGTGATAGCGAATCTGTCGACAGCGATGCGGACAAAAAGAAGAAAGATTCTAATAATATAGAAGATGGTAAAGAAGTATACTATTACTAAGTTTAATTATTATAGAAATTAATTAATTTTTGTAATTTTGCAAGCATTATATTTTATTAGTGTACAAAAATTAGTATAATTTTTATTTGACATTTATATTTTAAATTCTAGAAGAACAGATGCCAGAAGAAGAAGTAGCGACATTAATTGCGTATTGCTTAGCTGGTTTGGAACAATGTATATTAAGATTCGCAGAACATCACAAATCATTTTATAGACTTTCATACTTCTTCTTTAATAATAAAAAGGCAAAGGATATCGTAAAATGTAAAGAACTTTTATTAGGAACATATACTTGTCAATTCTATCCTGGACAAACTTTTCAAGGACTTTTTGCCGAGAAAAGAAGTACCAACTTTTTTAATGTAAGTATTATAATTGTATATGCATGATGTACAATACACTTAACATGAAATATCATACACTATATACATAGAATATTAGAGAAATATTCAAAATAATAAGTAAATAAATAATATTTTAATTAATCTTACAATTTAAGTCAATATCTAATCTAAATAATTTAGAACAACCTTGATGCATAACCTTTTTAAAATTGAGGTAGGCAAAATTTTACAGGCATGTCTATTTTGGTAGCGTGCACGCGCGTGTATGTATATATACATAATAATCAGATTTTATTTAATTCATATAATTTACCATATTAAATATAAATAAAAGGGAGCATACAGTCACAACACTAGATGTCTTAAGTGAAAGTTATATATTTAAAATTATAATATAACGTAGACGTTTCGGTCAAGATTTGACCATCATCAGTACAAACAAAAATAAAGATGTTAAAAATAAAAACATAAAATTAAACAATAAACGTTAGTCAGAAAAGATTGTAAAACAATTTTCAATTTGCTTACGGTACGAGATAACAGAGTAATTTAGCAGAACTTGAAGTTGAACATTACTTAATCGTTAATGAATTATTTTCTATTGCACGTAGGATTCCTTATTACAAAAAGTAAAGTGCGACAAATGCAGAATTTTCAGATTCTAATTAAAATAACAAAAAAAAAAAAGAAAACGATTTTTCAACACTGTTACTTCACAATATTACTTTAAATTCTTATTCGTGAAAATTAATTTAGTTACATAGTAAAAATTGCTTACCACGTATTTTTTGACGCAAAACCTCGCAAGTGCAATTCGAAGTTAATAGTGTAAATTAGACAACAAGAATTGGAACTTTTTGTAAGAACTATTACTGAACAAAGATGTGAAGGCGTAGCAAACGACAGTCTTTATAAGTATTGAAAAGAAAGGAGAGGGAAGGAAAGTGAAGAAATCTTTTCTGATTAACGTTTATTGTTTAATTTTATATTTTTATTTTTAACATCTTTATTTTTATTTGTATTGATGATGATCAAATCTTGACCAAAACGTCTACGTTATATTATAATTTTAAATATATGATTTTTGCTTAAGACATCTAGTGTGGCTATATGCTCCCTTTTATTTATATTTTGTATTAGTAAGCCACTTTAAAAAAATTTTCAATTTATTTACTATATTCTTACAATTTACCCGTATATGTTATTACACATATACGTATATAAATAGATAAACATATTTTACCATAATATCAAGGAAATTATATATAAATGCCTACATGTAATTTCTTTATTGATATTAAGATTTTTTTATCTGTTTATTTTTATTGCAATTATTTATTTTGATGATTGTTTTTGCACGTTCTGTACACATTATGTAAAAATAACTATCAGAATGATTAACTTCAATATTAACTTCAAATTTTATGTCATTAATAATTAAATTAAAATATTAAGATAATTTATAAAAATCAAATATTTGTAAACATGTCATTCATTTATAAAGTAT